ATTGACAATGAAAAGAAGAAAATGTCCAAGCATGCTTTCTTCCTTTCTATATCATATTTTTTCTCCAACAGGAAAAAAAATAAATTGGATGATGATGATGATGATCATCATCATCACCACTGTTCACCCCCCAAAAGCTATACTAAATGCAAGGATGGCAATTTGTGCTAGTTAAGACTGGTGTAAAATGAAATTTTTCAGGATGACTATTCAGTTGAAATAACCACATTTAATAGTGTCTATACTTTCTGTTCAAAATGGCTACTTTGTCTGTGTCTCATAGATGTGGAAGTATGTAAAAGTTGCTGAGTGTTGAGGCAAGTTTTTGCAAAGTTTCCAGCTGAGGCTGTAAATGAATCAGCATTTTTTTTTTTATGAGATCATTTCTTATTTTCATTTTGCTTCAGGCAATCTTTCTCTCCCTCTCTTTTACCAAAATGAAGCCACCCAAATGAATCTGAGAAAGTCAGAAGTAGCAGGAAGAGTGACAACTGAAGAGAAGCTATTTCATCTTCTCTTTGGTAAAACGATAAAAATTTGGCACTTGCAATCTTCTAGGGCAATTTTGAGCTTTAGATTCACATTCAGACATTTTCATTTCTAGTTATTTATTTCAAGAAAGATTAGATTCACCCTCTTTGGCAGACCTAGCTTTCAGTGAAACTATACTTTGGACAGATAGAGGAGATGTAAACCTCCCTACACATACAAAAACTACACGTCAACGGAAAAAGTTCTAGCTTTGACTAGTTTCTGACAAGTTAAAAAAGGGGGGTTTATTTCAAGATAAAACTTTAAATATAGCTTTGGCTCAAGTGCTCCAGGAAAAGTTTATTTGTCTGCTTTTCTTCTGTAAACTAAGGAGGGATTCCAACATTTCATAGTTTCCAAGTCCCCAATATCTGTTTAGAACAACCTGATTTACTCTTGGTATTTTAGACTACACTTGTCTTCAAGCTCAGAAAGCATACTCAGTAGCTAGAGTGAGAGGAATCATGATCCGGTAATTTTGGAGAGCTCATATTGGATATAATGTTGTGAATCTACAGCTCAGGTCAGATTATCATGTATAATTGTTAGGGCTCCGTTGGTGTCTAGAAGATTCCAGTCTAACATGGAGGACTTATCTGAATGGGAGAGCAAGGATGCAGAAAATGAAATCAAGTACCCATAAAAAATGGGCACCATGGGAGCTAGAGATAAGCAGAAATCCAAGTCTTCTGTTTTAAGAGAGCATCACTGCAAGAGAACATGAAGGATTTGAGATCAGACTGGGTGAAAATCCTGAACTATCTCTTGCTCTCACTCAATAACTGTCAGCTATCTTTTATAGTTATCCTTCCTTGGAATAAAATAAAGATGCAGTTTCTAGCTATGCTCATTCTTGTCTCTTGGGGAGCCCAACAGCGATTTAAATTAGAAATGAACAGACTTCAGGCCATATGTGGGCATTGAACCTACTTGTTGCAGCCTCAATTTTTGGAAGGAACAGAAAACTCTTATGTTAAGCTTCATGTAGGTTTGACATATCAAGTTGAAATTCTCTTCCAATTCCACAAAGAAAGAAGAGCTTGCTAGCTGACCCACCCCCTCAAGTCTTGTCATTGCATCACCATTTCAGCACTGGGCTATTAAAAAAAAAAAATGGTCCACTCCAAAAGTGGACATGGATGAGTAGCAACAACCTTTAGAGTTTAATATCTCCCCTTCCCTCATCTTCCTTCTCAAGTGTGAGTAAAAGAATGAATGCCTCCACTTCCATTTTTTTTTTTTTTTTACTAAACTTCTGTTTCTGTTTTATATGAATTTGGTTTTTAACAACACTTGTTAGTTCCTCCAAAGGAAGCCAAAACTGCCAATGGGGGCTGCCATGTTTTCCTTGCAGGATACTCCAAGATGAAGCTATGCCAGGAGCATTTGGGGGAAAAATAGAGAGCCAGTTTGGTGTGGTGGTTAAGGTGTTGGCCTAGAAACCAGGAGATGGTGAGTTCTAGTCCCATCTTAAACATGAAAAACCAGCTGGGTAACTTTGGGCTAGTCACTCTCTCTCAGCCCAACTCACCTCACAGGGTTGTTGTTGTGGGGAA